TGCACAGATTCCGAAAGCACTTAGCCACTAGATACCTGAATTCCACACAGGTCCTGCAGTTCCTTCACGGCAGCATCCGTGTCCTTGACCAGGATGGTGGCTATTCCCATTTCCCGGGCTGGCTTTAAGTTAGCGTCGATGTCATCCAGGAAAATAACCTGGATTCAGGAGAGATTCAGAGCCTGGGGTCAGTCAAGGGAGAGGAGAGTTTTGGGGAGTACAAGGAGAAGGAGACGTTGCTGTGATTCCCCAGTGATTTGGGCCAAGAGATTTTCACGTCAGTGTCTACTGATTTTGGGTGCCCAGCTTGAGAAGCCCTGGTTCACAGCCGACAGGTGTGCCCAGCACTTTCGGAAAGCCAGACCCCTTTCGTATGTCTAGTTGGGTCGCTTTGGGCAGTCTTTGCCATTGTCCCGTAACTAGAAGTAAGTTGTGCCTGCACCTCCTGTGGTTTCGCCTTCAGCACGCCCAGCGCGTACTCGTAAATTCGAGGGTCCGGCTTCTTCAGACCGATGCGGCAAGACTCGATCACCAGATCAAAATGCCTCCTCAGCAGGGAGAACGCAAGAGCCGTGATGTGTCTCTGAGGGCCGTCATCTATCCAGTTATTTGTGAGCACACACGTCCTGAACCCTGTAACGAACAGATGGCTAAATGGGTCGCGGGGCTATTCAGACTGGGAACGGTTAAGGAGAATCCTCCTTTCCACCACCCAGCTGTCTATCAGCAATTACACATCTCATCTCTCTATGTCCACTTTAACCACAGAGGATCTTTACAAACAAAGGGCCGAACTTTGCGAGGCTCTACTCATGCAAGGTGTCTTTACTCCTGAAGTCAGGAGGGACCACTCGAGTGAGGACTCCCTGTTGAGCAAGGGGTGCACGATCAAGACCTTCTACCACCCGGTCACGTAATCCTGTTCAGAAATTTACCAAGCCCCATCTTAAGGTCAGGTAGGTTGTTAGATGAAGAGCACACCACTTTTGTTATAACACAGTTTGGGACAGGAAGTGAAGAAGAATCCCATGTCCCATTGAGACTGTTGGTGAAATTTAGGTAGGCAGAATGGAATCTGGCCACCAGCAGAGGTTTCTGCTTTCGATCACTGGGTTGAAGAAATTGACAGGATTTCATTTTGGGAGATTGAACAGTCCCTCTAAGGCAGCCACTCCATGCGGATTTGGATGCCGTCTCTTTCTAAGGCGGTGGTTCGGTTGCTCGGGTCCGTTTGACCTAGTCCCAACTGAGGATTGGGTTTTTTTGTTTGTTTGTTTCCAATAAATCCAGTCCACATAGGCAAAGAGAAACTCTATTGTAACAAGAATGGGCCAGGATCACACCTGAACGTGGTTACTGGTGTAGCATAGCTGGGTGGGAAGGAATGCTAACAGCAAGCAGCCATCACTTACCATTGTTCCTGAGAGTTATAGCAGCTTGAAGAACAGCAGTATTGAGCTTTGCTTGTGTCATAATATCCTCAAAGACCTGTGCTACGGAGAACGTCTCCGGGAGAGAAGCCCCTGAGGAGGCAGCAAACTTCTTGCAATCCTCTTCCAGCTCTGAAACCAGCTTAAAAACAGTTCCCATCACCCAAAGGAGATCAAGTTACATCTCAACACACAATGAGAAAAAGTCACTCAAAACTCCGAGTCCCATCAATACACATGCGCCACACTAACTATTTCCTAATGAACTTTAAGGGTTACCAATAAGCTAGTACACCTCTACCCTGATAGAATGCAACCCGATATAACACAAATTTGGATACAACGCAGTAAAGCAATGCTCCGGGAGGGAGGGGGGGGGGGCCTGCGCACTCCGGTAGATCAAAGCAAGTTTGATATAACGCGGTTTCACCTATAACATGGTAAGATTTTTTGGCTCCCCAGGACAGCGTTATATCAGGGTAGAGGTGTATTAAAGACCCCCGCTCCCCCAGAAAGCAGGAATGAAAGGATTTAGCCAGAAGGGATAAAGGAACCAAGTACATTTTGTTTTAGATCTAATGAAATAGCATTGGACATAAGCCAAGTAATTAATCTACCACTGGTGGAGGCTATTTCTCATGGTGAAACTGCCAAGCTATAGCAGACTTAAGCCCATCCTGAGGCCAGACTAGCTAAGTGTGAACGCCGCAAAGTTACCGTTGTCAAGATTCAAACCTAGCCCCTTCTTGGCCCAAAGGCAATAGCTTCACCAGGTGAGCCAAGAAGAAGCCTTGTCTTGGCAGGACATCTGCACAGCTTGTGTCCAACACAAGTCGTGCCCTGCCCATCTGCTCAGCTGAGATGATCTCTTACCTGAGATAAGGCGATCTCCCCTCTCATCGCTCTGGCATAGGGACCATCGGGGCCTGCTCCAACGATGACATTTTGCAAAAAGTTCCTAAAAAAAAAAATCAACGAATACATTACAGTAAGGAACGAACAAGCAGCAACTGGCTCCAGAATGCTGCTGTCAAGTTACAACTTCCTGCAAGGCAAGGACCGAGCATTGTCAATGCACTGGCGGGAACCCATTCGGCAGTTCAGTTCTACTCTGAAGAGGGACTGCCAAGAGAGCTTCTCACTCCCCGGGGATCTTTGATTCATCGAGTGGGGAAAACGTTTATTCCTGTGTCTCCTGTTGACACTGCAGAATGTTGAGCGAGAACGCCGGATATTCTCCTTACGCATCATCTACCCATTGGTCCTGCAAGCTTCAGAATAAAAACCAGTAGCATGGGAGGGAAAGTCACTTACGGAAAAGACGTCATCTTACTTGAGAGCAGAAGGCCTCCAAGTCAAACATGAGAGATGAAAATGACCTATTAAGTTAGTGGGCTAAATTAATCCCTGGTGCAACTCCAGTCAAGTTAAGTCATAGACTCATAGACATTAAGGTCAGAAGGGACCATTTTGATCATCTGGTCTGACCCCCTGCATGCTGCAGGCCACAAAACCGTCCCTACCCCTTCCCTTGACTCTACTGTTGACGTCCCCAAATCCTGTGTTTTAGTGACTTCAATTGGCAGAGAACCCTCCTGCTAGCGATCCCTGCCCCATGCTGCGGAGGAAGGCGAAAAACCTCCAGGGCCTCAGCCAATCTACCCTGGAGGAAAATTCCTTCCCGACCCCAAATATGGCGATCAGTAAATACCCGAGCATGTAGGCAAGAGTCTCCAGCCTGACCCTTGTTAGCCATTGTACTATTTACCTGCCATTGCTCGGTATTCCTTGGCTAATATGTTTTTCCATTAAACCATTCCCTCCATAAACTTATCTAACTTAATCTTGAAACCAGACAGGTCCCTCGCCCCCACTGTTTCCCTCGGAAGACCGTTCCAATATTTTACCCCTCTGACGGTCAGAAACCTTTGTCGAATTTCAAGCCTAAACTTCACCATGGCCAGTTTATATCCATTCGTTCTCGTGTCCACATTAGTGTAGTACTAAGCTGAAATAATTCCTCTCCCTCCCTTGTATTTATCCCTCTGATATATTTAAAGAGAGCAATCATATCCCCCCTCAGCCTTCGTTTTGTCAGACTAAACAACCTGAGTT